TGTACTTATCAGTTACTTTCATCTAAAAAGTACTTAAATGTGAAAATTTTAAGAGAATTCTATATTATCAAAAGATGCTCATTTCCTTAACAAGGAACATAATATTATAGTTGTCAATTTACACTTGGAACCTTTGCGATGACCTTATTCCTTAACTGGATACAACTTAGGCAAGGCTGTATTAAAGGCTTCAATTTTGTTGTGGTCAGAACTTCAGAGCACATATCAAACAGAAAAGTAAGGATTATAATGTGGCCAAAACTTAGGAAAAGAAACAAAATGAAGGAGAAGGAACCCCACATGTTCTGGGTACTTGTGATGGGTAAGGGCACAGCTTTAGGAGAGCCCTTTGAGTACTGGAGAGAATATCTGAAACTTTGGGAGATGGGGCTCCCCTGGTGGCTCAGATGGTAAAGAATCTGCCTGCAATGGAGGAGACCCAAGTTTGATCCCTGCGTTGGGAAGATCTCCAGGAGAAGAGAATGGCTACCCACTCCAGTATTCTTGCCTGGAGAATTCCATGGACAAAGGAGCCTGGTGGGCTGCGGTCCATGAGGTCACAGAGTCGGACTCGACTGGGTGACTGTCACTTTCACTTTTCAGCATTGAAAATCTTTTGGGTAGAATTCTCCACCTGCTTCAGTCTTGGTAAGAGAGAGACCCCTTTTCAGCTATTGTCTAAAAGGCCAGCCACTCCTCTCCCCATCCCCTTGTAGCTAAACACACTCTTGTGTTCTATACTTAGCCAATAGGGTGTTCACATTCAGGACTGGCATTTGAGGCAGCAGTGTGCTGGTAAATGGGTCTCAGGAGAAAACAAAACAAAATCTCAGCCCTGATTTTTAGCATTCACTGATTTATGTGGTATAAATAACTTCTACTGTGGCTGATTTCAAACTAGAAACACTTTAATGCCCAGCTTGCAGAGTTCCTGAATGTTTCGCAGTCATCTCTCACAGTCAGGTTCAATTCAGGTTCAGCAGACCTATGGTTGCCAAGGGGGAAATGGGAAGTGGGGGGATGGAGTGGGAAGTTGGGGTTAGCAGATACAAACTATCATCTATAGAATGGATAAACAACAAGGTCATACTGCATAGCACCGGAAACTATTGAATACAATATCCTGTGACAAACCATAATGTAAAAGAATAGGAAAAAAAGGTATATACACGCATAACTGAATCACTTTGCTATACAGCAGAAATTAATATAACATTGTAAATCAACTATACTTCAATAAAAATAAAATAAAAACTTCGATTGTCAGCTGAATTGATAAGAAAAAATTCATGTTTAGGACATCACTGAGAGGGTTCAGTTCATAGATTCAGTGGGGTCAGAGTCCCATGGCATTAGCCAGGCACTGCTGCAGCAGGAGCTGGGGTCAGTGGTAGAGGAGCCAGTGAGTGTCCCACACCAGCCATTCCTGCTTTGACCTTGGCCCTTTTCTGTCGATTGGCTTCCCTTAATGCTACTCATTTTCAGATCCTGGTTCTTTTACTTTCCTGTCAATTCTATCTTAATAGCCTCCCAATAATTCCTTTTCTGCTTCAGTCAACCAGAATTGGTTTCTATTGCTTGCAATGAAGAACCATTACACACCTTTAATTAAGCATTATGATAACTCCATGATTTTAATCCTATAATTATTACCTCCAATTTACAGATGAATAAATAAGGCTCAGAGAAGTTAAGTAACTTTGTCTAAGGCCACACACAGCTAGGAAGTAACAGAACCCAAAGCTCTTCCCACTCAACCAAGTTTCCTTTCACAAAGCCATCTCTCTCCTGCATATGCAGTACTGATGGCATGTCTTTGGTTTCAGTCTCTGTTAAGCCTGTATTAACTTAGAAACATTATTTGAGGTATACAAATTTTTAGTAAAATAATTTCTCCAAAAATCATGCCCAAGTGACCACTGTCCTCTAAGGCAAAAAAATAAAAATAAAATTTGAGATATCCATTTATAGAGTAGTTGATTTCTTTTTATAGTCAATCTGCAAAGGAATTTTCCTTTTTTAATAAATTATATCCCCAAACCTTCAGGGATAACTCTGGAAAGAGAATTCCCTAGTACTGAGGGACCTCTTAACAAGTGGTCTCAACTTAGTTTCCTGAAATGTAGCATCTCCCCTTGGAGTTCTCTTGCCGCAACCACGATATCTTCCAAATGTATTCTGATCCAGCTTTAATATTTCAACACAGTATGAACAGAACTTTTTCTCTGTTTATTTTTAGCACAGTGCTTATTCTGGCTGGTCGTCCCTGGTAAAGGATCCCTCAGCTGGTAAAGAATCCACCTGCAATGCAGGAGACCTGGTTCGATTCCTGGGTCAGGAAGATCCACTGGAGGAGGGATAGGCTACCCACTTCAGTATTCTCTGGCCTGGAGAATTCCATGGACTGTGTAGTATATGGGGTCAGAAAGAGCTGTTCATTGGATCATAGAAAAAGCAAGAGAATTCCAGAAAAACATCTACTTCTGCTTTATGCTAAAGCCTTTGACTATGTGGATAACAACAAACTGTGGAAAATTCCTAAAGAGATGGGAACACCAGACCACCTGACCTGCCTCCTGAGAAATCTGCATGCAGGTCAAGAAGCAACAGCTAGAACCGGACATGGAACAACGAATGGACTGGTTCCAAACTGGAAAAGGAGTACAGCAAGACTGTATATTGTCACCCTGCCTATTTAACTTATATAGAGAGTCCATCATGTGAAAGGCTGGGCTGGATGAAGCACAAGCTGGAATCAAGATTGTCAGGAGAAATATCAACAACCTCAGATATGCAGATGATACCACTCTTATGGCAGAAAGCAAAGAGGAACTCAAGAGCCTCTTGATGAAGGTGAAAGAGGAGAGTGAAAAAGCTGACTTAAAACTCATTATTCAAAAAAAGAAGATCATGGCATCTGGTCCCATCACTTCATGGCAAATAGATCGGGAAACTATGGAAACAGTGACAGAATTTATTTTCTTGGACTCCAAAATCACTGCAGATGGCGACTGCAACCATGAAATTAAAAGATGCTTGCTCCTTGGAAGGAAAGTTATGACCAACCTAGACAGCATATTAAAAAGCAGAGACATTACTTTGCCAACAAAGGTCCGTATAGTCAAAGCTGTGGTTTTCCAGTAGTCATGGATGGATGTGAGAGTTGGACCATAAAGAAAGCTGAGAGCCAAATAATTGATGCTTTTGAACTGTGGCATTGAAGAAGACTCTTGAGAGTCCCTTGGACAGAAAGGAGATCAAACCAGTCAATGTTAAAGGAAATCAGTCCTGAACATTCATTGGAAGGATTGATGTTGAAGCTGAAGCTCCAATAATTTGACCACCTGATGCGAAGAACTGACCCATTGGAAAAGACCCTGATGCTGGGAAAGATTGAAAGCAGGAGGAGAAGGGGATAACAGAGGATGAGATGGTTGGATGGCATTACTGACTTGATGGATGTGAGCATGAGCAAGCTCCAGGAGTTGATGATGGACAGGGAAGCCTAGTGTGCTGCAGTCCATGGGGTCTCAAAGAGTCAGACATGACTGAATGACTCAACTGAACTGAACTATTCTAGCTAGAATAAGAAAATGTGAGTAATTAGGAGTATAAATAGTCTCATATACAAAGCAATGAGGTCTGGTTCTACCTTGGCTAGCTGGATCTCAGTACTTGTGAAGGTTTTCATTTGTAGACAAGAGGGTTCTGTATAGCCAGATGATGGAGAAGAAATTTATTAAAGGATATTAGAAAGCTCACAGAATCACTGAAAGATCTGGAGGAATAGTGCTAAACTAAGCTTCCAGGGACAACTCCCAGAACCAGCCCAAGGAATTGTCACCACCATCTCCAGACCCACTCAACCTCTGCTATAATCAGGAGGTTGCCTCTACCACTATTAACCCCAGAAATACAGATCTTGCACAATACCACACCAGCAACACAGGTATACCAGTGCTTTGTCAGGTCCCTCAGGTAGCTGGTCTCCGAATCAGTCTCATGCATCTGTTTGGAAGAATCTAAGGTACATATTTTTATCTTAGGGGCAAGGAAGGTTGAAAAATATAGCTTTTAGCTTTGAGGGGTTCTCAGTAGATGGAGAACTATCAAAATGTGAAGAAAACATTCAAATATATTAGAATGTTCACTCCCACAAATGGCACTACTTTTCCATGTATCAGAAGACAGAAGCTTCTATTTCCAAATTACTGGCGTAATTCACAGGCATGTTGTCTGAGTTTATCACTTTCATATGAGGAACTGCTTTTCTAAACATCTCAATTCTTTCTTCATTAAATTCCAACATAAATAAAAAAAGAAACCAAGTGAAAGGCAAAATGAATTGCCCTTTGCCCTTTGACATTTTTGTCTCAGTTCTTGTTTCTGAATAGAAAGCAGCATCTTTCCCATGATTTTTTAGCATAAATGACTCCACACCCATCTTGAGATCTCATCTTCTACTTATGATGGAGAACGTCTGTGTCCCTTGTTTAAGTCCAAATTCTATGATTTTTTTTTCTGGGTGCATAGGTAAATTACATTTCCCAGTGTTCTTTCCAGTTTGGGGGCTTCCCTGGTGTTATGGCCATAGACTGAGTTCTAATCAATGGAAAATATAAAGGATGAAGTTTCTAAGTCAAAGCTTCCACCAAGTGGCTTTGCCTACTTCACCTTCTTTTCCTCCTTCTGTCTGCTAGATGCTGGTGACAGTGAGGACATGGGAGATGGAAGGACCACAGAGAAAAGCCTGGAGGAGACATGAAATACTGCCTGGAGGAAATATGCCTGCCATCCGGAAGCAACCATTTGGATTCCTACATGGATGAGAGATTAACTTATCTTGTGTTTGAACCATCATTAATTTAGGGGCCTATTTATTACTAAACCTAATCTGTTCCAATTAATGCAATATTTAGAAACAACTCTAGTTCTCTTCTAGTAAGAGTTATAAACTTGAAGACAGGAATTCTTTCTTCACAACACCAAAACATAAATAAATGGTCTTACACTTGGCTATAGCAAATTCCCAGGTGGTGCAAGTGGCAAATTCCCTGCCTGCCAATGCGGGAGACCTAAGAGATGGGGGTTCAATCCCTGGGTCGGGAAGATCTCCTGGAGGAGGGCATGGCAACCCTCCAGTATTCTTGCCTGGAGAATCCCATGGACAGAGGAGCCTGGCAGGCTTCCAGTCCATAGGGTCACAGAGTGGGACAGGACTGAAGCGACTGAGTACACACAAGTTTTGGATCAAATTTGATTTATTGCATTCTGGTTCTTGGTATATTGCCTGGTGGGCTACAGTCTACGGGGTTGCAAAGAGTCCAGATACAACTAAAGCAGCTTAGCACAAGCATAGCAAATTAAACATCACACTGCATTTTCTGAATACTTTTCATGGGCTCAATAGCTTTATGTTCTGGATTACAAATGTCAAGACTAAAAGGTCTATACCTTTCATAGACTAGCTAGTTCATTCAGTTCAAAAGACAGATACTTCTGCCTTTCAGCTGTCTGGTAAACATGTCCCTTTGGTCATCAAAAGTCATAGAAAAAGAGCAGAAAAGGAATACTATGAATTCATTAGAACTTTTGAAAGAATCTTTTAAAGTTCTCATACTATTTTAAAATCAGTGGCATCACTTTTTACCTGTCATGGGCAGCCATCTTTTTTCTATAATAATGTAAGCTTCATCTAGCAATCCTAGCCAATGAATAGAAAAATAGTTGGGAAAAATATGCATATGACTCTCACCATAGTTACAAAAGAAGGGTGAATTATCTCCCTTTTGAAGTTGCATTAACTTGGTAAGATGAATGGGACACTATTCAGTGCATTGAAGGAGATAGTTAACTGAGTGGGCTTAAGCAGTCTTTCCCAAAAGAACTTAATGCACCTGCAAAAAGTGAGCAATTTAGTCCCTCTTCATCAGGAGGAAAGTTCTTTTAAGAGATAATTTCTTCACTTCTGAAAGTGGAAGAAACAAGAGCCGTTAGAAGTATCTGTTGATTATATCTGTGTGGATTTGAGGATGTATAACAAATGGTCAAACACACTCTACCCTATTTACAAACATGCAAACATATGTGTGTCTTCCCCATGTGTGTCGGTGTGTATATGCATGTATTTGTGTATGCATATGTACGTGTATATAGTTGATATATGTTTTGTGGTAGTTATGTTCTATAAAGTAACTGAGAAAAATCACACCATTGTCCCCAGGGAAAATATCTATATGTTGTGTGCATGCTTACATAGTCGCTCAGTTGTGTCTGACTCTTTGCAACTCCATGGACTGTAGCCTGCCAGGCTCCTCTGTCCATGGAATTCTCCAGGCAAGAATCCTGGAGTGGGTTGCCATGCCCTCCTCCAGGGGATCTTCCCAACCCAAGGATCGAACCCAGGTCTCCTGCATTCCTTGAAGATTCTTTACCATCTGAGCCACCAGGGAAGCCCATCTATATGTTACTCTATGTTATATACATATATAAGTGTGTGTGTGTGTGTGTGTGTGTGTGTATATATATATATATATATAATAATCTCAAATCCTAAAACACAGCTCACCCTGGTTGATTCTGTCTTCTTTATTTTGCAAAAGTAAAAATGAGGTTAGAAGAATAGTGAGGATGTCCTACTGACAGGTGCTGGACTTGGGATTCAAACCCAGTCCCACCGGCTCAGAGCCAGAGCTTCTGCCCTACAGTGTACCGTCCCACTGTCTCCATCCAGGGGTCATCTCTTCATGATCCAAACCAAGGCAGAACTGGTGCCTGTTGCACCTCAGCTGAGAACGTGCACAACAGGGCAACTTTGCACATATCTGCGAATAACTAACCAGGAAAGCACAGAGAGTATTGATTTAGGGGTTACAAACAATTTAGAGAGTAGGCGAACTCACAAACAAGGAATCCCCAAATAATGAGCACTGACTGTATATATACACAACACCACAGTTCAAACGCATCAATTCTTCGGTGCTCAGCTTTCCTTATAGTCCAACTCTCACATCCATACATGACTACTGGAGAAACCATGTGAGAGTTGGACTATAAAGAAAGCTGAGTGCCAAAGAATTGATGCTTTTAAACTGTGGTGTTGGAGAAGACTCTTGAGAGTCTCTTGGACTGCAAGAAGATCCAACTGGTCCATCCTAAAGGAGATCAGTCCTGGGTGTTCACTGGAAGGACTGAAGTTGAAGCTGAAACTCCAATACTTTGGCCACCTGATGCGAAGAGCTGACTCAGAAGATGAGATGGTTGGATGGTATCACTGACTCAATGGACATGAGTTTGGGTAGACTCCGGAAGTTGGTGATGGACAGGGAGGCCTGGCGTGCTGCAGTTCATGGGGTTATAAACAGTCAGACACAACCGGGCAACTGAACTGAACTGATACTCTTTTATATGTTTTTGTAAAATATCAGCTTTTATTCATAATCATGTATGTAAAAGTATGTCTATATATGTATATATACTGGTATTTTTGGAAGTATCAATAGAACCCTTATTCTCTGGAGAAAATGACAACAGGATCTAGACTAACAACAGAGGACTTAGCTGGTGCAATCCAAGCTGAATAAGTAATGAGGCACATTTGGAAAGGACCGTCAAATTGATACTCCAAGATTTTTGAAACATCAGTAGCAATTTGCCCATGATTAAACAAGTTATTAGTGTTTCAGAAATTTATCACATGTACAATGAGATGGGCTTCCCAGGTGGCACAGTGGTAAAGAATCTGCCTGCTGGTGCATATCCTGCACAGGGTTCAATCCTTGCATTGGGAAGATGCAGCCCACTCCAGTATGGCAACCCACTCCAGTATTCTTGCCTGGAAAATTCCATAGACAGAGAAGACTTGTGGGCTATACAGTCCATGGGGTCGCAAAGAGTCGGACATGACTGAGCAACTGAACATGCATGCATACAATAAGATAAATTGTCTACCTAACCAATTTTTACAACTTTCTTCAATATTTATTTATTTTTACTGTTTTTGCTTTGCCTTATAACTATTTTTGCTTTATTGGAACTAAAATTGGAAGTGCATGCCATCTTTTGTGTTGCCTTCTGTGAAGTGACAATCAATCAGTTTCGATACAATTGGCACTCAGCTATAGGCGGAAGTGTCATTGCCCGTGAAGTGTGACTTAAGGGTCACAACTAGACCCCACCTTCTCCAAATCATCTCTCTCAGCCTCTGATGTTACCACTGAAATGAGAGGTACTCATAGATTAGCAAGCCTGGCAAGGCTATCTTAGAAGGATCTTCCCCCGCTTTCTTTATTCCTGGCCATCTCTTAAATGAGATAGTTGTGAAGTCTCAGTGTCCAGGAGGCCATCACGGAAACTCTCCACCCAAAACCCAGCCTTGGGTTAGGTGTCTGAAGCAGGTCCACCTGCTTCCCAGCAGCCCCTTCTTGTCACTCTCCATGAGCTTATCATTGTGTATGGTTTTTACCTGTTCACAGTCCACCCCTCTTTCCAGACCCTGAGCTTTCTAGAATGGAGACTGTGCCTCTCACAACAGTGAGCCCTGAACTTAGCACAATGCTATAGACCTATCTCTGTTGCTTATAAATGCTCTGTGTCTCTCTCCAAACCATCTCTCTCTTTACATTTTTTAAGATTCTATAAACAAGTGATATCATACGATATTTGCTTTGTCTGATTTACTTCACTTAGTATAATAAGCTCTAGGTCCATCCAAGTTGTTGCAAATGTCATGATTTCATTTTTTATGACTGAGTAATATTCCTGTGTGTGTGTGTGTGTGTGTGTGTGTACCACTTCTTTATCCATTCATCCTTGTATCCAGTGCTAAGGAACCCAGTTACCTGGGACTGTTGTGCCAAAGTAATTCTGGAAAAGACAAGTTCAACCCTAATTCCATGCCTTGGTTAAGACCAAAGCCCTCCTCCAATTTTCTGCCAATTCCTGGAGCAGTATGGGAAAGAATGACATTCTCAAGATCTTCTCTGTGTCCTGGCTCTGTTTACACGGATGCAGTTTCCCAAGTCACATCAGCCTAAACCTGAAACTGATCTCCAAAAATATTCCCAGAAATCCTATCTGTTGAAAATATCCTAGTGCAGTTGACATTTCTGAGGAGTTGGGCGCCATTGGAAGGGTTCATATCACTCACCAGAGAGCAACCAACTTTAAAGTACAAAACTGCAATTTCTGTTTTGAAGAGTGTCTCAGTCTCCCTGCTTATGGGGCTTCCCATGTGGTGCTAGTGGTAAAGAAAAAGTGTTAGCCACTCAGTCATGTCCAACTTTTTGCGACCCCATGGACTGTAGACTGCCAGGCTCCTCTATCCATGGAATTATCCAGGCAAGAATACTGGAGTGGGTGGCCATCCCCTTTTCCAGGGTATTTTCCCAACCCAGGGATCGAACCCAGGTCTCCTGCATTCCATGCAGTTTCTTTACAGTCTGAGCCACCAGGCAGCCACCTGCCAAAGCCAGAGATGTAAGAGACATGGGTTCAATCCCTGGGTCAGAAATCCTGGAGGAGGGCATGCCAACCCACTCTAGTATTCTTGCTTGGAGAATCCCACTGGACAGCAGAGCCTGTTGGGCTATAGTCCATAGGTTGCAAGGAGTCGGACACAACTGAAGTGACTTAGCATGCACCTTGCTTTTAAGTGTTGCCTTTAAACCCATATTATGTCCTAGCTTATCCCAGCTCACACTCTCCTCCTCCTAAGGGAAATAAAAAGTAAAATAAAATAATAATTCTTCCTCTTCTTGACATATACAAGACTTTCAGGTATCCACATTTGTTACCTTGGTTACTGCCCACACCGAATCCTCAGCCTTTCATTGACACAGCAGGTAGTCTTACCAAAATATTTCCTTGAACAATGACAGTAAGTCCTAAAACCAGCAGTTAAGATATTCCATTATATTCTTATCACACTATTCTTATAATAGTTTATAAAGCACTTTCACATCAATTATCTCATTCAACCTTAACAACCTTGTGTGGTAGTTGGGCTGGGTGTCATCATTAGCCTCAGTTTACAAAGGAGGGAATTGAGGCTCAAAAAGACTAGGTCAGAAAAATGCATGACTCAAATCTGCATGTTTGGATGATGTAGCAGATTTCATAGTGCTCCATGAAAATTCGTGTCCACCCAGAATCTCACAGTGTGGGCTTATTTGGAAATAGAGTCTTTGCAGATGTAATTAGTTAAAGAATTTGAGATGAAGTCATCCCAAATTTAGGGTGGACCCCAGATCTAATGACTTGTTTCTTTATCAGAGAAAGGAGACGGAGATTGGGACCAGAGGCACAGGGAAGAAAGTTTGTGAAGACAGGAGCAAATTTGTCCAGCCAC